CCCTGATCTTTAGCTGAGCACATCACCACAAGAGTAGAGACCACCTGCCCTAGTTTCCCATGCAGCTACGAGTGGTCATATGACTCTATTTCTCAGCATCCCTTGTAGCCAGGTGTGGCCAATGAAATGTAAGCAAACGTGTTGAGGGAGACTTGGGAAGAAATGCCTTTATGAGAGAAGGCGTGAGTTCCACTCACCTTCTGCTTTCTTCTACTGCTGTCCTGGAATATAGGTAAGATAGCTGGAGCTCTAGCAGCTATTTTAGATCTTTAGCTGATCTTGAGAATGAAAATCAGTTCTAGGAGGGTGGGACAGAAAATAAGGAGCTTAGGTCCCTGAAGGCACCATGGGACTGTCAGACTAGCACTGAACTGCCTACCCTTGGACCTCTTTTATCTAAAAATGAATAAAAGAATGAATGAATGAGCTTCTCACTTATTTCAGCAATGGTTATTTTATCTTACTCTGTGTGAAAACTTAACTGTACACTTTATAGATGTAGGTAAGAGTGATTTAAGACCATCATCTCCCCCAATCTATAGCAGATGAGAATCCAAAGCCCTCCCCAAGACACCTATGAACTCCTGAGCTCTTGTTCTCTTGGTCCCTCTGCCTCTGCACTTGCTTCTATGGGTACATTCTTAGCTCTGCCCAGCCCTGATCCAAACAAGAAACTTGTTCTCTTTGATTTCCAAAAAATCCATTCAAGATCTGGGCAAAGTATCATTTCCCATGTGGCACAGCAAACAACTTGCAAATCTACCACAGACCTTTCTATTCGCTCAGGCTTTTGCCTCCCCACTTCCCAGCACTTCTCTCTGTTTTTTGTTTTTTGGGTTTTTTTTTTTTTTTTTTTGCCAGAAAGATCCTAGTGTGTCATCTGTCCTATTTTCCCTTTGCTCTCATTTCTCTACTCCTACCCTGTTCCTTCTGGATTATGTCCACATCTTTTGCCTCATTTATAAAAAGCAGTTCATTCACAGCATCTCCTTTCTCCAAACTTTTATCAGGTGCCCAGAAGACAAAAACAAGTTATATCTAATAGAATTCACCCTCCTTAGAAGGCCATGGTTATAAATGGCACACCCCTGCCAGATAACTATCTCTACAAATCTCAACCACCTAGAAGCACATGAGTGAGTGGGTAGGGTTAGTGGGGAGTGTGGGAGCACACATCCTGTTGTATGTCTGGGTTGTTTTGCACTGCTGCTGGGCCACCCATCACTAGAGGATCCTTGGCTTATTTCCTGGTGCACGGCTCTTCCTACTGGAAGCTACCAGCATACCTCTGGGAGAGGGGTTCCTTGTCTCCACACTCACCTACCGCCCATCTAGTGCTTACTTCTCAAATTGCATCACAAGTCTCCCTGGACTGGGGAATCTTACCACTCCCCTGGGGCTTTCTGAATTCCTACTTTGTATCTACGTATGTGCATTACTAAAATGGAAATGCCTTTAAATATTCTCCGAAAATGTACAAAGCCAAAGCATGTTAAAATTCCAATATTACTTAAGAAGGATAATGTTAATTGATTGTTAGCTTTACATTTATCTAACATTTACTGTTAGGGTTTGTTTTTTTGTTTTGTTTTTATTTTTATTTTTTTACTCTCATTGTCTCCTTAATCCTTACAATGTTTCTATAATATTGGCATTATATGACCCATTTTATAGTGAAACCAACTAATCCCAGAGAGGTGGATCCATTTGCCCAAGGGCACACAGCTAGGAAGTGATGAAGCCACAGTAAAAATGTAGGTCCCCGCATCCTAAATTCATAACTCTTTTAATTAGCAGATGTGCAGGCTTGTTATAGATTAATTTGCTATTTCCCTAGCACATAACAGAAAGAAGGATTGGCTACAGCTAGAATAAATAAGCTCTGACTGGAGAGAAGAGGCTCAGCAAAGAGTCTGGGGTTGGTGGGTCTGAGCCAGGGACCACCGCAGAGAATCCTGGGAAACCAGAAGCAAAAAAAGTACCCTTGGTGTCAGAGACAGGAGAAAGTCAAAGACATGCTTTTGTGATAGCACCAGTTTTTACAAGATTTCCTGTCATTAGGGTCTTTTTTTTTTTTCTTTTCCCTGATTAAAGGACTCGCTGTGAATGAGATAGCTGAGGCCAATGTAGGTCAAAAAGTAATCAGGAAGCATATTCAGACAGAACAAACCAGAACCACAGGTGTAGTATTTGGGAATTATAAACCCTCAGCCTTCTGCTACAGGGACTGTGGTTTGAATCAAAACTCCCTGAGCAAAGTAACAAAATGCTGCAAGGAAGAAATCTTATTCCCAGAGGCAGATATTGAGAAAATCAGATTGGAGCATCTGACAGCAGGGGTCCTCTAGGGATATCACACAGGGCCCAGCTAGTTGTTATAAACCACGGGTATATCCAGGGCCTGTCAGCAAGTTGTGCAGGGATCCTGGGTCATTTGCACTCAATGCTTGATGAACAAAGGCAGCCCTGCTGGGAGAAATGAGACGGGCCATTGCGAGGGACGCCATTGTGAGGGACACCACCTTGGTGACACAAAGGTTTTGTCTGGTGGTGTGCAGGCACACACACTTCAGCATCAGTTAGCAAAATCACTTCCTCGTTTCTGGGTTCCGCTTTTGACCCTGCCTGGTAAGAATTTGATCTTCAAGCATGAAAATCATTCTGTTTATGGAAAACCTACTGTGTGTCAAGTATAATTGGGATACACCTCTACAGCTGAGGAATCTCACCTTGGAAATGGCAAATGACTTGCTTCTTGCTGCACAACTAAACCAGGAATTCCCAGTTTGGCCAGCCTGGAAGCCTGAGCACACCATGTTGTCTCAGGGCTCACTGTTCCTGGGGTGGTTGTGGTTAGAACTGCCCAGGTCACCCACATGAATAACAAGGCTTAAAATTTGCATACAGCCTTCCACGAAGAAACTCCTTTCACCCTGAGAGGCCTGCTTCCAGCCTGCACACAGCTATAAATCTAGAACCAACAGAACCTCAGGAGGCCCAGAGCCTGTGCCAAGTGCTCTTCTGGAAGCTGCCTGAAAATTCCTTACTGACCTATGGCTTAGCAAACTAGACTGCATTCCTGGAGTTCTGCCCGGCACATAGAAGGCATTCAATAAATGCTGCCTCTTCCAATCCATGCCATTTCCCCACATCTTGGCCTGAAACTACCACGATGTCTTATAATTCTCACAAAGGCTGGCCTGGGGTGCAGATTTCATCACATTCCTACTGGGATAATAACCAGAGCTTTGATTTACTAAGCACTTACTTCTTACTAGGTACACTGCTTTATAGTTTGGATACATCATCTATTTTAATCCTTCCAGCAACCCCGTAAGACAAATATCATTATTATCCCAATATCAGTGAGGAAACTGATGCATTGAAATGTTACATTACTGGCATAATACATTACTCAGAAGTAAACAACAGGTATGGTATTTGAACATGGGTCTTTCTGTCTTTGCAATATGTGCTCATAATCATTCCATTGGTCTGTCTCTCCAGGAAGTCCCTGGAACTTCTCTAGGCCCTGCCTCCTGTGGTGGTCCTAGTGACCTCCAGAGCTTGCCTTGGTCACAGAGTCAGGGACCTTGAGAACCAGCAGCTCAGCCTCAAAGAAAGTCACAGGTCCAAGGACATCATGCATCTGTTTGGCCCAACGTGTGCCAGGACATAAGCAGGGGAACACTCTGGAGTGTGATATCTCTGCTGCAGATTCAGAGCTTTGATGAATTAGCATTTGTTAAACTAATGCCTACAAAGAATTCTTCAAAGCATAAAAATTGGTATTTCCTACATCCTGGAAAGAATACAACTCTAAAATTCTGCCTGCTATTTAAAATGCTATTCCTGGGGCGCCTGGGTGGCGCAGTCGGTTAAGCGTCCGACTTCAGCCAGGTCACGATCTCGCGGTCCGTGAGTTCGAGCCCCGCGTCAGGCTCTGGGCTGATGGCTCGGAGCCTGGAGCCTGTTTCTGATTCTGTGTCTCCCTCTCTCTCTGCCCCTCCCCCGTTCATGCTCTGTCTCTCTCTGTCCCAAAAATAAATAAACGTTGAAAAAAAAAATTTTTTTAAATGCTATTCCTTAAGTAAAAGCAGGAGGAGGAGGAGGAGGAGGAGGAAGAGGAGGAGGAGGAGGAGGAGGAGGAGAAGGAGAAATGTCTACCAAGTCTGATAGCTTTCATAACATTTCATAAAGTTTATAATAAGCTTTCCTCAGAGCCTAAACAAGGAGAGTAAAAATTGCAGGATCTCCCAGGCATATCTAGATTGTGGTACTTTGACCCAATCCCCTTATCTCGTCTGAGCATGGCATGTGACTTCGCTGTATCCTGTTTTAGAACAAAGCATTCAGATGATATGTCTTTTCTCTATCTATGATCTGGTTCAGTTTTTTTCCTCCAGAAAAACTGCATTCAGTTCTCATCTTCAAAACAGAAAATCAGTCTCTGGAAAACAAACAAATCATCTGAGGTGGGAAATATAAACACGTTGTGGAATTCTGGAGAAAAGAGATGCATCATATACAGCTGAGTAAATACAAGTGGGTTAATTACAGCACATCTTTTTTTTTCACGTTAGGTTTAAAATCCAGCCATGCTGACAGTCCATTCTTGTCTGCATTGCTTATTCCATGCACACCAAACAGAAGGCCTTGGCAAAACTTGACCCTGGAAGGAATAGTCCAACTCCTCCAGAGGAAAACAACTACTTGACCAGAATATTCTTTAGCAACAAAATAAGGAGCTCGATCTTACTACACAAAATTGTTTAGAGCAAAATGAAATAACTTGTGAATACAGCAAATTATCATTTCTACAGGCTGTGGACATGGCTGACCAAATTGCTAGAGTTGTGTGTCTGTGGGTCTTTTTTTCTTCAGTTTTAGTTTTGCTTTGTTTGGCAAGAATGAAAGAGGAAGGCCTCCTAACCACCCCACAGGATGATTCCGGCAAGACTCGAGGTTCCTGAGGCTTACGACTGACTTCAGCCAGCAATATAAAAGGGTATGTGGCTGCAGCTGCTGCTATTTGGGTTTTTCCTTTGGCTTCAGTTTTAATTCAGAAAACCTGCTCACCAGGGACTCCCTGCAGCTCTTTCGGGGGGCCCAGACCGCTGGCTCTCTCTCAAGGCTTCTGCAAAAGGAAGGAGTGGGTCTGTGAGTGTTTGTATGTTTTTCTATTCCCTTCACACTTATGAAAAGTCTGTATGTGAGAGTGCGGGACGTGTGTGTGTGTGTGTGTGTGTGTGTGTGTGTGTGTGTATCAGAGAGGGAAGAGTGGAGAAGGGAAGCCAGACTGACAGATTCTGTGGCCTCAGCTTCAGAGTCCCTCAGCGGGCAGCCTCTGCAGCCCGGCTGGTCTCTCGTGGTGAACAGCTCCAAGATGAAGTCCCCCTGGAATATCCTTTTGGTGACTCCTCTGTTCTTACTCCTGCCGCTTCGCACCTCGGCCTCTCCAGCCTCTGATGACTCCCCAAGCACCAGAAACCCCAATGGCCACACCTGTCTAGGTACGTAAGTGTTTTGCATATTTTTTATGTGGGCATAACAATGGGGTCAAATACTTTGCTTGCATAGTAAATCACCTATTTAGTGACATCAGTAGCTCTGAATTCCAAGTAAGGTGACAATAACCTCCCCAACATAGAAAACCTTGAGCCTGACAGTGAGCACATATGTGTGCACAGAAGGATGCTATCCAGTGGCTAGTTTGAATTGTTGTGTAAGTCTTCCACCTCGCTGGTGATTGTAGTTTTTTTTTCTCTTGGAGGGACAACCCTTAGAAAAGCCTGAAATTCTTACCCTTTCAGGACAGTAGGCAGCGTTGCACAGTAGAAAGAAGGTAGTCTTTGACATCAGACAGCATGACTTCTGCCATATTCCTGGTCCCTCCACTGAGACTCAGTGGTAGGGGACATAGTTCCCTCCTTTTCGTGGGAAGGTTAAGGAATTTGTGGCCATCCTCATTAGCCATGGGTGTTCATTTGGATGCCCATACAAATACTCCACGGCCCCGAGAGCTCAGGGAGTCTATTGCTACTTGGGTTTGATGATGGGTTAGCACCCATTTCCACAATTCACAATTTCTGGCTAACTGCCTGGAGTTGTTGGCCAGTCCACATGGTTAAGAAGAAAGGTGAGTGCAAGATGTGTCCATCATGTGATCAACATTTACTGGGCAATGACTGTACTGAGCCAGGGGCTGCAGGCTGTCCTAGCTGGGGTCTCACTGTTTGAGTTGGTTCCTTGGAGAAACAGGCTCCGAAATTTGCACACAGGAGTGTTTATTGAGGTGTGCTCTTGGGGAAAACACCACGAGGAGGGAGTAAAGCAGCAGGAATAGGCAGAAGGAAAATATGGGCTATGTAACAGCCACACACACACACACACACACACACACACGCACGCACGCCAATCCCACTCTGGAGCTAAAATGGCCCTTCAAAGTGGCCTGCAGTGGGTCCAGACACTGGAACTGCCAACAGTAAACAGTCACTGGATATGAACTGACCCCAGGGGGCAGCTCCTTTCAGTGGAGACAATACCTGCAGAGGCACTTGCTGGGAGCCATTAGCACCGACGGTCCCAGCAACAGGGGGAGGGAGTGTCTCCTGAAAGGGGCCATGAGGATATGAGGGTGCTCGGGTTTGCAAGGCCGAATGTGGGGTTAGCTCATTTGCAGCTGGTGGTAGGAGGAAGAGCATCAGGTAAAAGGAAGAGAGGCAGGAGAATACAAGGAGACTCTGGTTGGGCTTGCACTACTTTCCGAAAAAAAGCAGGACTATTTGACTTCACACTCACTGGCACAAAGGCACTTCCCAAACATTCCTATGTGTCCCCTCTCCACATGGTCACTGAATGGCCACCACATGCCAGACCTTGTGCTCTGCGCTAGAGGTACAAAGATGAATAACAGTGTTTAACAATTTTTAAGTTTGTTTATGTATTTTGAAAGAGAGAGAGAAAGAGAGAGCAAGTGGGGGAGGGGCAGAGAGAAAGGGAGAGAGGGAATCCCAAGCAGGCTCCACACTGTGAGCACAGAGCCCAGTGTGGGGCTCCAACTCACAAACAGTGAAATCATGACCTGAGCCCAAACCAAGAATCGGTCGCTTAACTGACTGAGCCACCCAGGTGCCCCAAATGAGAATAATATTTAAAACGCCTCTGTCCTCAGCAAGTTCACTGTTCAGTTTAGGGGGAAATAAAAATGAAACTCTGGACTGTAAAGATTACAGTTCTTTGAAATGAAGCACAAACTGAGAGCTTAGTGCTCACAATAATACTCCACCTGTCAAAGAACTCTAGACTGTGGCACCCATGGTACAGCCAGCAGAAAGCCAAGAAACACAGAGCAAACGCAAACCATTTCGAAGCAGGCAACTGGTGACTGCAAGAACCTCGTCATAGTCATAACATCACTGAGCTAGGAGAAAATAGGAAGAAGGGTGGGGTGAAGTTTTAGAACTTTAGAAATATTTCTGCCCAAGTATTGCCAGTCAAAGAAGGAAGCTTCAGGTATTCCCAAAGATTTCACTTGCATTTACCCTCCTGATGAGAGACGCTGGGCTACAGAAGTCTTGAGAAAACTTGGTTAGGCAGTTGGATTTCTGATCATCCGATTGAGCAGTAAGGGATCATCTTTGTTAGCAGCTAGGGATCTCCTAATTACCATTCCAAAATAAAGTTTTACTTTGACTATAAAAGTATACACTTGCCTTGATTTATAAAAGCATAATAAAATAAAATACTTATAGTCACCTTCTTAACACATGGAAGTAGTTCTGCTTCCCAGTTTTTCCTGGAGCTCAACTGAATTAATTGTGTTCCATCCATTTTTATGAAGATACGCATTTAGTGATCATATTTGTTTCTTACTCATGAAAGTTTTTTTGCTACTGGTCTGCAGCCATTCTTGCAGCTTCCTGGCATTTCTCCCTGCTGCCCTGTGTCTTTTCTCTGAGTTGCATCTGGGCTCATTGGAGTGGTGCATAAAGAAAGTAAGGGTTTTTCAGTGACAAGAATTACATTCGTTAAGTTAATAAATATAAGACTGCTAACATTTATTGAGTGTGTATGTGCAATTAACAGTCTTCCAAAAAGTTTATACGAAGTATCTCATTTAATCATTAAAATGACCTTATGGGATATATATTATCATTATTCCCACTTGGCAGGGGAAACAACTGTGAATTAGAGAAGTAAACAACTTGGCCAAGTTTACGCAGCCAGTTAAAAGTTGGCCTTAGATTTCACTGTCAGTGTGATTATGGTTTTTTGGGTTTTTTTTTCAGTGATTAGGTAGGGGCAATATATTTCTTCCTCACATTTTTTTAAATACTATTTTATTTTATAGCTTTATTGAGATATAATTCATGCACTAGAAAGTTTACCCTTTTAAAGTATAATGTTTATTTGTTATATTCATAAGTTGTATGTATATTGATCATCAATATTTAATCCAAACATTTTTATCATTCTAAAAAGAAACCCAATATTTATTACCAGTCACTCCCCATTTCCTCTCTTCAACCCCTAGAAATCACTAATCTCTCATATCTCTATAATAAACACTTCTATAAATGGAATGATAACAATATATGGCCTTTTTGTATAGGTTTCTTTGACTTAACATAATGTTTTAAGGTTTGTCCATGTTGTAGCATGTACCAACTTCATTTATTCTTAAGCTTTTTTTGTTTGTTTGTTTTGTTTTTGTTTTTTTCTTAATAATCTCTACACCCAACCCCGGTCTTGAACTCATGACCCTGAGATCCAGAGTTGTATGCTCTTCCAACTGAGCCAGCCAGGCACTCCCATTTCTTCTTAGGAATAAATAATATTTCATTGTGTATGGATATGCCCCACATTGTTTATCTAGTCATTGTTGGTGGACATATAGGTCGTTTCCAGTTCTTAGCTATAATGAATAATTCCACTATGAACATGCATGTACAAATTTTTGTGTGCACATTTGTTTTCATTTCTCTTGGATACATACCTAGGAGTGGAATTTCTGGGTCATACAGTAGCTCTATAGTTAACATTTTAAGGAACTGCCAAACTGTTTTCTAGAGACACTACAGTATTTTACATCCCCACTATTAGTGCACGAAGGTATCATTTTCCCACAACCTCGCCAATACCTCGTTATTATCCATCTTTCTTATTATGGTCATCCTCGTAGACTTGGAGTGATACTTCATTGTAGTTTGGATTTGCATTTCCCAAAATAATAATGATGTTGAACATCTTTCCGTGTGCTTATTGAAAATTTGCATATTTTCTTTGACAAAATGTCTACTCAAGTCATTTGCCCATTTTTTAATTGAGTTGCGTCTTCTTATTGTTGAATGATAAAAGTTTTTATATAATCTAGATAGATATCCCTTATCAGATACAAGATTTGTAAATACTTTCTCCCATTCCATGGGGGTTTTTTCCCCACTTTCTTGATAGTATCCTTGAAAGAGCAAAGTTTTAAATCTTGATGAAGTCCAATTTATCTATTTTTGCTTTTGTCTTGGGCTTTCTTGTATCATAGCTAAATCCCATATTTTAAAAAAATTTATTGAAACTATTGTCTCTTTCTTGTCATGTGCCCATCCCCTTACCTTGTTTGTCAGACACTGGGTCTCTAACTACCATTTTAGTGACCCAGAGTATAACTGCTGGGGTTGTAAGTAACAGGAATCAACTTGAGCTAGGCTGAAAAAAAAAAAAAAAAAAAAAAAAAAAAAAAAAAAAAAAAAAAAGAGAAAGCTTTCCTGTGAGGATCCCAGGAATGAATTTTAGAACCAAAAGGCAGAAAAATACAATTAGGCCTAAAAACTGAGCCAGGAGCCAAAAAAGGATGGCTGTCAGTGTCCTAAGGAGTACTTTTCTGGCCTCTCAGTACCTCCATCTCTGACCCTATACAGACTAGCTGGTTTCACTGCTCTAGGCCCTTTGGCCAATTATGGGCTCCCACAGTCCAGAGTTTGCCTGCAGTTGTCCAGTCCACACCAAGATGGACTCTCCTTCTGGTTGTTAATCCAGCTTCCTGGCAGAAAGAAACTGGGCTCAGTCTTTAGGCCACTGAATAAGGGCAAGTGGGAGTGAGGAGAGCTCGCTGTACACATGTGGCTGTCAGAGCCGCGGGTGAGAAGACAGCTCTCCAAGAAGTGAGGATTGCTGGGACTGGAGAGATACTCTAAAGGAAGCCATCACAGAAGTTAATGAGTGATTGCACCAACATCTCTGTCATAAGCAAGCACCTTCAGCTTCAGTCCCACGAGAAGACTTTGCAGGAAGGATGAACCAATACACCTGGAGGGCACCTTCTTAAATATATTCCAAAATCAGAACCAAGCTGTGCAAATCCCCAGTGGCCCCCTTCCAAATTTACCACAATTTGTTTGCATTGAACCATACATCCCATTTGATCACTAAGCAAATGCTGATTCAACTGTGCTTGAGCAAGCAGTGCCTCTTTCTGCCACTTTCCAAATGTTATGGAATCAATAATAAGCCA